GGCCAACTAACCTTTGACAAAGCTGGAAAGAATATCCAATGGGAAAAAAGACATACTCTTTAGCAAATGGTGCTGGGAGAACTGGACAACAACATGCAGAAGAATGAACCTGGACCACTTTCTTACACAATACACAAAAATAAATCCAGAATGGATAAGAGACCTAAATGTAGACAGGAAACCATCAAAACCCTGGAGGAAAAAACAGGCAACCACCTCTTTGACCTCAGCTGCAGCAACTTATTACTTAACATGTCTCTGAAGGCAAGAGAAATAAAAGCAAAGGTGAACTATTGGGACCTCATCCAGATAAAAAGCTTCTGCACAGCAAAGGAAACAATCAACAAAACTAAAAGGCAACCAATAGAATGGGAAAAGATATGTGCAAATGACATACCAGATAAAAAGTTAGTATTCAAAATATATTTAAAAAACTTACTAAACTCAACACTCTAAAAATAAATAATCCGGTGAAGAAATGGGCAGAAGACATTAATAGACACTTTTCCAAAGAAAACACCCAGATTGCCAACAGACACATGAAAAGATGCTCAACATCGCTCATCATCAGGGAAATACAAATCAAAACCGCATTGAGATACCACCTCACAGGTCAGAGTGGCTAACGTTAACAACTCAGAAAACAACAGATGTTGGTGAGGATGTGGGGAAAGGGGAACCCTCTTGTACTATTAGTGGGAATGCAAACTGGTGCAGCCACTCTGGAGAACAGTGTGGAGGTTCCTCAAAAAATTAAAAATAGAACTACCCTACGACCCAGCAATAGCACTACTAGGAATTTATCCAAAGGATATAGGAGTGCTGATTCATAGGGGCACATATACCCCAATGTTTATAGCAGCACTTTCAACAATAGCCAAATTACAGAAAGAACCCAAATGTCCATAACTGGTGAATGAATAAAGAAGACGTGGTTTAGATATACAATTGAATACTACTTGGCAATAAGAATGAAATCTTGCCATTTGCAACAACGTGGGCAGAACTGAAGAGTACTATGCTAAGTGAAATAAGTCAGCCAGAGCAATACAGGTATCATATGTTTTCACTCATATGGAACTTGAGAAACTTAACAGAAGACCATGGGGGAAGGGAAGGGGAAAAATAGTTTGAAACAGAGGGAAGCAAACCATAAGACTCTTGAATATGGAGAACAAACTGAGGGTTGATGGGGGCGTGAGGGAGAGGAAAAAATGGGTGACGGGCATTAAGGAGAGCACTTGTTGGGATGAGCACTGGTGTTAAATTTAAACAATGAATCATGGGAATCTACTCCTGAAGCCAAGAGCACCCTGTATACACTATATGTTAACTAACTTGACAATAAATTATATTTTAAAAAAATCAACATTGAATAGAAGCAAATCAGAAGAGGGAAACAATAAAATTAAATTTAAAATAAATTTATCTTTAACCACCTTTACTGGGGCACATGGGTGGCTCAGTCAGTTGAGCGTCTGCTCAGGTCATGATCTCAGGGTCGTGGGATGGAGCCCTGCATCGGTCTCCACACCGAGTGTGGAACCTGCTTGGGATTCTCTCTCCCTCTCTCTCTGCCCCCACCACTTGCACATGCTCTCTCTAAAATAAATAAAAAAAAAATACAGAGAACAAACTGAGGGTTGATGGGAGGGGAGGTTAAATGGGTGACAGGCATTAAGGAGGGCACTTACATATCATATGTAAGTGTCATATGTAAGTGCCCTGGGTGTGACATGTAAGTGATCAATCACTGGGTGATTACACTGTATGTTAACTAAATTGGAAAAAAAATCCATTGGGGGCTAAAAGTGGGGAATGGGCAGTGTGAAACATAGAGATTATCATCTTTTTGAGTCTGTTATGAACTCAGAAGGGTGTTTTGCTTTGTTTGGTTGTTTTGATTTGTTGTTTTGTGTGGTGTTTGGGGGGGTTGTTTGTGGGGTAGATTATTTTGGTTTGTTTGTTTTGTGTGTCTGTGTGTGTGTGTGTGTGTGTGTGTGTGTGTGTGTGGAGGGAGCTGCATTTCTGCCAATGTTCCAAAAAGGGAAAAGGAAATTCTAACTTGTCTAAGAAGGCATAGTCAACGACAACAGTGACAAAAATGGATTTGCACATTGATCCAATCTCAAAATCGCCACATATTTGCTAAAATAAATTCAGTCTTTCCCTGGCAAATGTTCTCCAAATATTCCCAAGAATATTCACATTTTTAACTTGCTATAGGAACCCCACCAGTTTGTAGGTTCTACAAAAAATGTGGGTTTCATTTTAAGAATCCCAGAGATGGGGAGAAATATGGTAAAATTTTCAAGACTATTTGGAGCTATAGCAGCTGATATATTACTTCATGTGGCTTATGGTTGCTGCCTGCTCCCCCACCACCCTCCTCCACTAAGGGTTGCCAGATTGAGCAAATAAAAATATATAATGCTCAGTTAAGTTTGAATTTCAGATAAACAAGTAAACTTTTAGTATAAGTGTGTCTCACGCAAAAAATATATATATATAGTTTATCTGAAATTCAAATGTAACTGGCCATCTTGTATTTTGTCTCACTACCTTCCTCCTCCTGCCACTCTTGAACCCCACCCCTTCAGAGGGGGTCCCCATGGCTGTTCCCTCGGGACAGAGCTCTTCCCTTTGACCACAGCCTTCTCTTTCCCATGGTTGGCACCTCCCACTCCCCAGAGGGAGGCTAAGTAAGCACCAGGTAAGACCAGCCCCTCTCTGTACCTGGAATCACTCCTCCCTTTGACCATCAAGTCCTGAAGCCCAGTGGACCCTTTCTTTCAGACTTCTATGCACAGGGATTTCATTGCATCTCCCTCTTACACAGCCCCCTCAGGGAATCCCAGACCATCAGACACACTTGTATTTGTGTAAAGTCTGTGTGACATATTGTTCTGTCTGTTCAGAATCCTTTCTTTTGGGGAGCTACTCTCCCATTCCATGCATTTCAGGAAGTGCTGATCCTTTCTTACTTAGCCTTGGGGGTGTGGCCTAGACCATGAGACTTAGGGCTCTCCAGTCAGAGAAGTTCATCTTCCAGACCACAGTGATTGTTCAAGGCTTGGTACATATCTAGAGTCAGGTCAGAAACCTCTTCCAACTTCTCTGCTAGACCTGTTGGTAAAGACGATTCTGTTCCTTTAGGGTCATTGACTGTAAGGATGGTTTAAGCAGACCATAAGAGAAATGGCTCTTATGGCCATTTTCTCCGACATGTAAGAACCACTCTCTGAAATAAGAAAGGGTGACTATAAAAAGAGCAACAGACAAGAGAGAGAGTGAAATCTTGATGTCATTGTTTAGAAAGAGCCTGACATACCTAAAACTAGAAATCATTACTTTTTAAAAAGTAAATACAGTGGGTCATTTAATTTTTGCTTAAGCTAGTTTGGATTGAACGTGAATCCTAATATGTTTAAACCTCAGTGGTTTTTAGATCCATGTTTTTTGAAGCAGGCCTCCTTGGCCCCATGAAAATCCAGCAGTGTAGCTAAGCACCTGTTTCATTGTGCCCAAATTCTGTATGACGTTTGGGAGTTGGTCTCTGTGAACATCTAAGCTCTGTAGGGGACAACACAGCCTTTCTCACTGGATGCCAACCAGCCTCTGTAGGAACGTAGTACAAATTACTCTTCAAATAAGTACATGCACACACATAAGGTTTGTTACACATACCCTGAATCTAGGTGTTCAGTATGCTATCTATTTAATTATCAAATGTGGAGCCACCAACCTTCCTGTGTGAAAAAGAATTAATAATAATTAGTGTTATGATGTCCCAAGTTGACCATCCAAGGCTGAGTTCCCTTGGATTCAGACGTCTGGGCATGTCCAGCAGATTACTGGAATTGGTACACATGGAATCAATTTGTGAGGAGTCATGACAGTAATAAAAATGTGTAAAAAGCAAAACGAGGGGTATCTATAACCTTTCTGTGGGGCACTGACGGTCCAAGGCAGCACCGACATTCTCAGCTGTGCTGACACCAGCAGCAACAGCTGGGGTGGGGGTAGGTTTGCAGTGCTTAGGCACAAGGTCCTCAGGTGCCTCTACACTGTTGACTGAGGTATGGGAACTAAGAGATGTCTCTGAGGAACCCCAGAAATTGACAGGGCCCCTAACTGAACTTTAATTTCCTCATCTAAGAAATGAGTCACGAACTACATCTGGAATTCCTTTGATTCTTCTTCTTTTCTATACAGAGGGAGCCAAAGAAGAAAAAGAGATTATGAGTTACCGCTTAGAACTGACTGGTCTTTACAAAAATAAAAGGGAGGTAATGGCACCAATGAGGACAAGTGACATGGTATTAGTACAAAGCTGAGTCAAGTCACAGTAGACCTTCCAAGACCAAAGATCTGTAACAAGATATGGCTTATTTCCAACATGGAAACTCTAGAAGTTTCTAGAAAGATGGGGAGCTACTATTTAAGCAGCAATTGATCACAAATACAAAGTCAAAGGGATATTCCAGTATGACACAGTACACTATTTCCTTTCAATGTTGATATGATATGTTTCACATTATCCCATTTTATAGAATAAGCACAATCCATAGTTTATTATATTTAGAAGTTTATTTTATACAAAGAGTCAAATCACATGTTTGGTGACTGACATTGACACGTAAGAGGGGTTACTGAAACTCTACGGTATAGGAGGTTATAAACAGCCTCTAGGAGGAGGGGATTTTAAATAACTGATTTTGAGCCATTGATGGTAAATGTGGTTGTTCCTGGGAACTCATTCCACATGGACTTTCCCCACATCTTATGTTCCAAGTTTTCTGATCCCCTATTATCCAATGTTATTTTCGATTTGTTCCTCTGCTTTTCCACTCCTAGTACCCATTAGTGTAATCTCTCATCTATCCATTCCTTTTTACACCCTGTCTTCCCCTATCCTCCGGTCCCTACCCCCACCACCTTCCCAACCCTTCAGTTCTATCTGCTTCCCAGATAAATGCTGCTCCTACCCTCCACGTCGTTCATTCCTCTGCCTCTCTGCCTTTTCCATTAGAAGACTTCTCTTGAGCCTTTGCTATATTATTGTCACAAGGACATTTTTGCTTTTCTTTCCATCCATTGCTCAAGCTGGTTTTGACAGAAAATGAGTTCTTGCCATGGGATTTCTTTTTATTTGAATGTTCCATCTTAAACGATACATCGCTCATCTGAACGCCCTTTACCAGATTCTTTATTTTAGACTTATACAGAGATAATTCCAAATCCCAGGCCCTGTTACATTTTATAGATTCCATTTTTTCTTTAAAATGCTTCAGATCCTGCTGTACCGAGGGAGAAATTTTGAGGGAGAACTTTAGCTCAAAGTTCGAGGAGGTCTCTTTTCTCGATATGTCCAATAAAAACCGTGTACTGAGGGTCATCTCCTCGTTCTCTGCCTGCCCCTCTTCATCCAGAAGGCTGTTTACTTTTCTGTGGGACTCTTTCCCCAGCTGACTCTGGTCCTCTTTCACCAGGTAGGACATGGCATAAAAAAATTCCTGGAAGCTAATGTGGCGGAAGGTATAGAACTTCTTGATGTCAAATCCCTCTTGGTAATCCATGCTGCTCAGGAAAGCAGCAAGCCTGGTCCCATCTAAATTGTGCTTCCTGAGGTCAGCTTCTTCAAACATGAACCTCTGGTGCTGGATCCCCTCAGCTGCTAAGGAGCACAGACCCCTCAGGACCCTGTGCCGGGTAAGCTCAGAGCCGCCTCCGTTGTCACTGGGCGGCAGGAAGGTAGAGACATAGGCCATGAAGATGTCTGTGTCATTACTGGGAGTCTCTGAGATCTCCCTGCCCTTCTCCATCTGCCCCTTCAACCAGGAGCAGACCACCCAACAGATGCCTGGAATCTGACATGATTTGTAGAGAGCATCATTCCCTTGTACAATGTCAAAGGCATTTCTGGCTTGCTCCTCATCCGTGAAATAGGAGCTGAAATACCTCCTCCTCTCATCCTCAGAAAAGCCTAGGATGTGAATATGATGCGACTGTTTCAGCAAGGGCTTCAGATTCGGCAAAGCCAGGGGCCGGGTGGTGATAAGAAGTGAAGATGTGGAAAGTACCTCTCTCCTAATTAGAGAGTGCAGGATTTCCCCCATAGAGCTCGGACTCAGCCTCTTCAAGCCCTTTGCAAAGGGCCTCTGCAGCTCATCAAAGCCGTCCAGGATAAACAGCAGCCGCTCTGGCTCCCTCAACATCTCGTCCACAGGTGCCTGGTTGTCCCCACAACACCAGAAGAGGAGCTGGTGCAGTCTGCCCTCCTGCAACAGGACCACTTCTCTGCAGCTGACATAAAAGACATAATCAAACTGGCCTTGGTAAAGGGTGCCAGTGGCCCAGTCCAGCACCATTTTTCTGGCCAGTGTTGTCTTTCCAGTGCCAGCAGACCCCTGTAGTACCACTGTGGGCGGGGCTTGGTAAGGCCTTTCTCCTGGATCAAACAGAGCCTGCAGCGACACAGAGTCCAGCTCTTGCTCCAGAACGGGGAGGGCAGACGATTCTGGTCTCTCCGGGCTAGGCCTGGCCACGAGGAGCAGCTGGCTGTGGCTGCTGCAGGGTCCCCCCTCTTGCCTCTCCTCCAGGCCGCGCACATGCTCTCGGTATATTTCTCTGTAATCTGAGCCAGACACATGGGGTGTTAGCGGGTGACATGGAGATAAAGAAGGACCAAGAGGGCCATTCACACTCTAGATCCTGATCTCTAGTTTCATTTTGTATGCTAACTTCTATCTTCCTGAAGTTTATACTTCCAGCCACAAGGAGAGTGACTGCTACAGATGTGTATGTGTGTGTACCTGCACACATTTACATGCCTGGTGTGCATGTGTACACCCATATGAGTGTGCAAGGGTGTGTTTTGTGTGTGTGGGTATCTGTGGGGTATGAGTGACTATATCCACACATGCCCATGAGAGTACGCCTATGAAAGCTTATGTATTTTTTTAATGTTTACTTATTTTTGAGAGAGAGACAGAACACGAGCAGGGTAGGGGCAGAGAGAGAGGGAGACACAGAATCAGAAGTAGGCTCCAGGCTCTGAGCCTGATGTGGGGCTTGAACCCACGAACTGTGAGATCATGACCTGAGCTGAAGTTGGATGCATAACTGACTGAGCCACCCAGGCACCCCAAAAGCTTGTGTATCTTTGTGTGAGGAAGGCATGTCAGTGTGCATCAGCAAGTAGGTGTTTGTAAGAATATGTATATGTGTAAAAGTCTCTGTGTATGTGACTGAGTGTTCCAATGAAACATCCTCATTTCAAATGGTGAAGACAGGGCCGCCTGGGTGGCTCAGTTTGTTAAGCATCTGACTCTTGACTTGGCTCAGGTCATGATCTCACGATTTGTGGGATTGAGCCCCTGTGTGGGCTCTGTGCTGACAGTGCAGAGCCTGCTTGGGGTTCTCTGCCTCCCCTTGTTCTCTCTATCTCTCTCTCTCTCTCTCTCTCTCTCTCTCAAAATAAATAAATAAACTTTAAAAAAACAATTAAAAACTTTTTTAAAATTGAAATGATAAGGACAGAGAGGGGAGAAAGGGAAGGGAAGCTGGAGGATAGTGAAGTAATAGAAACCTATTTTTGGTAATCAAACCAGGTGCTCAAGATAAACCAGCTTCTGAGCAGAAGCCATGACTTTGTGCCAGAAGAGGTCTCAGGTGTGAAAGGGGTCTATGGATGGAGCACAGGCACCACCCCCCCATCACCCCATGAGAAGGGACAGGAGACCTTCTGGGCTCCATGCCCATCCTGCACTCTAGGGCGGCATCAATCCATCAGTTCCTTGAGAGAGAAGGACTCAGAAGCAGACTGTCCTCTGTGGGAAATAGCCTGAGCTGCCTGCTAGGACAGCAGCTAAGGCAAGGTCAGACCCCCACCACCTGATGCCATTTCTGCTGCTTAGCGGAATCCCCTTCACCAACATCTTCCCCGATCTCTAAGTCCTTCTCCTCTCCTCTTCTTTTCTGTGGCACTACAACTGGAGGCAGGAGGTGGGGGCATTATGGCCACAAGATAATAGTAATCTTTCTGTAAATAAATCTCCACCCTCGGCTCAGGCTGTCAGAGCCTTGGGCTGGAGACCACCAGGCCCCTGGGCACTGGTGCTCCTAGGCATGGACAGAGGGCAAGAGTAAGAGACAGCATAAATCACAGGCTGTGGGAGTCTCTGGAAATGTCATGGGGGTATCATTCCCACGATACATTGCTTACATACATAGTCCTGGGGCTACCCTGACCTCCTGTCATCCCCTCCTGCACTCACCATTCAGACAGATGTGGCTGAGCTGGTCCACTAGTTCCAACAGGTTCATGACCTTCAGGATCCTGAGCACCACTTTTGCGGCCTCCTGTGCTCCATATAGGGAAATCAGCAAAGAAGCCAGGTCCACCGGGCTCAGGTCCTCCAGCTTCCCCCGAGCCAGCTGCGGCTGCCTCTCAAGCAGGCTTCTGTCCCGTAAGTGGAACTTGAATAGCTTGAAGCTTTTCTCCTCAAGGTCACTCAAAACCCAGAGCAATGCCTCTCGGGGGCTGTGGGCCAGGGCCATGGTGTTGGGGTGAAGGGTCGAGTTGAGACCAGTGACCTGGAGAAGCAAGGGAGAGGGGAAGAGAGGTGAGCACTGAGGGAAAAGCAGCCTGCAGGCACCTCAGCCACTCTCCTTTCTAGGTGTTTAGCAAGCTGCTGAGCCCAGGCCAAGGAGAGAGGAGAGAGAGACGTGTGCAAAATTCCAAGAAAAGCGAGTAGGTGGGACAGCAGGGAATTTTCTTACTCATTCCCAGCTGTGCCTCTTTGTCAGCTGACGTGTGTCTGTGCCAGCAAATAGGAAGGAAGGGATGTGGGTGTATAGGTTCTATCTCTCCATCTCTCCCTCCGCCCCCGTTCTCCCTCTCACACACACTATCAGGCCCTAAATGCCTACTTAAGACAGTTGGGTTAAAAATATATACTTCTTTAAGTTTTCAAAGTGAGCCCTTCCCTGACTTTGTGAACCTATCCAGAGTTGAAGCATACTGGCTAGGACTGCTGAGAAGTCCTGGCAAGAAGGTAGAAACTCTATATCATCAACCCATTGGCTTCGCAATCAGCCTCATGGACTCAAGCACACACAGGATTTCAAAGCTGGAAGTTTTCTAATTCAGATAAGGAGACACGTTCAAATAATAAAAGAACAGTCACTTTGAGGGCTCACTTTGTCCCCCATGATTTCTTTTCTTTTTTTAAAATTTATTGTCAAGTTAGCTAACATATAGTGTTTACAGTATGCCCTTGGTTTTGGGGGTAGATTCCCATGATACATTGCTTACATACAACACCCAGTGCTCATCCCAACAAGTGCCCTCCTCAATGCCCATCATCCATTCCCCCTCCCCCACCCCCCCACCAACCCTCAGTTTGTTATCCATATTCAAGAGTCTCTTATGGTTTGCCTCCCTCTTTGTTTGAAACTATTTTTCCCCTTCCCTTCTCCCATGGTCCTCCGTTAAGTTGCTCAAGTTCCACATATGAGTGAAAACATATGATATCTGGTTTTCTTTTATTTATTTCACTTAGCATAATACCCTTCAGTTCCATCCACATTGTTGCAAATGGCAAGATTTCATTCTTCCTCATTGCCAAGTAGTATTCCATTGTATATATAAACCACATCTTCTTTATCTATTCATCAGTTGATGGACACTTGGGCTCTTTCTATAATTTGGCTATTGTTGAAACATTGCTATAAACATTGGGGTATATGTGCCCCTATGAATCAGCACTCCTATATCCTTTGGATAAATTCCTAGTATCACTATTGCTGGGTCATAAGGTAGTTCTATTTTTAATTTTTTGAGAAACCTCCACACTATTTTCCAGAGTGGCTGTACCAGTTTGCATTCCCACCAACAGTGCACGAGGGTTCCTATTTCTCCACATCCTCACCAACATCTTTTGTTTTCTGAGTTGTTAATGTTAGCCACTCTGACCCATGTGAGGTGGTATCTCAATGTGGTTTTGATTTATATTTCCCTGATGATGAGTGATGTTGAGCATCTTTTCATGTGTCTGTTGGCCGTCTGGATGTCTTCTTTGGGAAAGTGTCTATTCATGTCTTTTGCCCATTTCTTCACTGGGTTATTTTTCCCCATGATTTCTAAGTATTATCTCTCTTAATCATCACAGAAACTATCTTAGGGATTACTCCAGATAAGAAATTTGAGAGAAAAGTGGTTTTCCAGAATTTTCCAGAGCCGGACCAGTGGGCAAAGAGGCAGGATTTAAATCATTGTCTATGACCTGGGTAAATAGGAACAGAAATATGTGAAAAGAAAAACCATAGAAGACAGATGCAGAAACCATGTCGTTAGACTAACTGCTATCCCCCACTAGAGAGAACAGGATCTTGAATTGTGTTTAAAATATACAGCTAATATGTTGACAGGGTGGCAGTCTTCAGAAGAAGAGAAGCAACAATTAGCAGAAGACTTCAGAGTCCGGAACTACCCCTCTGATCTATAACCAATGGGAAATCCATCTCAGTAGCAAAATGTCTGAGAGCTAGAAAAAGGTATTTGGGAATGGGGAAAGCCACTGAGATTCAAATGCCAGCATTTTAACTATGCACCAAAAAGTGACAAAAAAATTTTCAGAGTATGTTAGGATACAAGGGACTTTGGGTGCAAGTCTTGGGGTAGTTTGGAAAAGCAAGCCTATTGACACAGGAGTGATTTACAATAAACTCTCAGGCTCCCCTGAAAGTCTCTGCTGTTGGCAGAGCTAATTCAGGAGACAGCAAGAAAAGATAGCGCTAGAGGGTGCCAAGGAGATCTGCTATCTAGGCTTCAGGCCATTTGGACTCAAAGAGCTGGAGGTGAGTTAGGGATGACTCACCTCCCTTAAGCAGGAGCCCAACAAGCTGGGTCCTGGGCACTGAGGGAAACAGATCTTCTTTTCTAGTCAGACCCCAGCCAAGCCTGGGTCCACTTAGCCCAAACCCACTAGTTCACTTCTTCTTGGTGGTGCTGGGATTAAAAGGGTGGGTGGGACAATCCCGTCACCTCACCTTTCATACCTAATAGGCCCTGGCCCATCTGGGGCTGGGAGAGATGAAGCACCCCGGGGCCTCAGAGCAGCAGAAACACCCACACATTCCATCTAACATTCAGTAGATAAGTGCTGCTCATCAGAAGAAAACTTGACTTCCTTCCTGCACATAGTAAATTGAAAAACAAGGGAATGGCCAAAGGGATGACCTATTCTGTCACCAAGAAAAAAAAAAAAAAGAGTCCAGCAGCCCTTTCCTCTCCCTCTCTGAAACCCCAGCACTCTCCTACAACTTGACACAGGGCCAGGCTGGGGCAGTCTGACTCGTGAGGCAAAGGAATTGAGGCACTGTCACCACCATGTCCTCAGCCATGCATTGCACCATTTCTTCACATTGTTTAAACCACTGGAGGATGTGCTCCACCAAAGTGAAAAGGGAGAAAGACAGGAGCTCCATGAAACAGGAATCCAAACAAGGAGGAAAACAAAGCACCCTCCCCACTCTGCCCAGGGCACCTGGTCAGAGAGCCTAGAGTGGGGACAGGACAGAAGCCCTGACTGAGGAGAATAGGGCTCTCAGATCATCTCCAGGGGGAAAAAAGAATTGACAGAATAACAGATGCTTCTAGGCCCTCTGGAAGATCCTACTGAGAGGCTACTAGAAGGTATGGAGAAACTAACATTCAATACCAAGAAAACTAAACAAATAACTAGAATATAGAAATTCTAGCTCTAGGAAAAACAAAAAATAAGAAAGAATTTTACATAATAATAAACTACAACACTCCATTGTAAATAATGTTTGCATAGAAATAATAATGGAACCGCTGAATATTGATCTAACTAAAATGTATAATATAACCATATTGAAAGGACAGTGGTGGAATATTATGGCATAGGAAGTCAAGAGATAGTGCATAAAATTGATGAGACAAAAGGTAGCAGTAGACATTTATTATTTAAAAGTGCAGAGATGAGAGGCACCTGGGTAGCTCAGTTGGTTAAGCATCTGACTTCAGCTCAGGTCATGTTCTCACAGTTTGTGGGTTCGAGCGCCACGTCAGGCTCTGTGCTGACAGCTCAGAGCCTGGAGCCTGCTTTGGATTCTGTGTCTCCTTCTCTCTCTGCCCCTCCCCCACTTGTGCTCTGTCTCTCTACGTCTCTCAAAAATAAATAAATGTAAATATAGTAAAATAAAAAAATAAAAGTGCAGAGATGCAAGAGGAAACAATTTAAATATAAAAGCAGTTGCCTCAGGAAAGAGAGAATGGAGGTAGTGGAGTAGGGAGGGGGTTGGAGAAGTGGACCAGGAAAGTACTGGATTTGGAGCATAAGCTTTTTGATGTTAATTGATCTTTTAAACCATGAGCATATATGTTATAAAATAAAAATTAGCAAAGTAAGAACAGGAGGTAGAAGTAGAGATAGTAATACTGTATTGCATATTTGGAAGTTAGTAAGAGTAAATCTTGAAAGTTCTCATCACACAAAAAAATCTGGAACTATGTATGATGATGGATGTTAGCTAGATTTGTTGTGATGATCAGTTCACAATATAAACATATATTGAATCATAATGTTGTATATCTGAAATAAATATAATGATGTATGTCAACTAAACCTCAGTACAAAAGAAAGTACATTAACTAGTGTATATAGACATATCTTTCAGGAAGCTTGGCAACAAAAGGAATTGAGAGGTCCTGAGAAGATGTGGGGGATGTGGGGCCAAAAGAAGGTCTTGTTTGTTTTAATGTGAGAGAGTATGGGAAGGATTTAGATGCTGATAAAAAATCATCTGACACAGGAATCAGGTTAGAAATACAGGCAAGTCGGGTCGCCTGGGTGGCGCAGTCGGTTAAGCGTCCGACTTCAGCCAGGTCATGATCTCGCGGTCCGTGAGTTCGAGCCCTGCATCGGGCTCTGGGCTGATGGCTCAGAGCCTGGAGCCTGTTTCCGATTCTGTGTCTCCCTCTCTCTCTGCCCCTCCCCCGTTCATGCTCTGTCTCTCTCTGTCCCAAAAATAAATAAACGTTGAAAAAAAAATTAAAAAAAAAAGAAATACAGGCAAGAGAGAGAAGTACCAGAGGAGAGAATTGAGCTGTGGATTGAGGCAGGATTCAAAGCAAAAGCAAAAGATTGGCCTTTGACAGGAGAATGGAGGGAACATCTTCCATCCATGCCTGAGGAAACTGACAGGGTCATTTGGCAGAGCAAAGCGGGTCTGTGAGTTTTGTGGTCAGGTGAGGGTACTCATGTCTGGTGGTCCCTGGATTCTCTTTGAGTGATGAGTAAGAGCATCTCCTAAGGGTGGGAGGGCTGCTGGTGAAGAGGGGAGAAGCCATAAGGGAGCAGCTTGGAGCCTCTTTTGTGCACCTTTCCCCCTACCTCCCCAAGGCCTCTCGTGCCCAGTGCTCAGTGAGTTCTGCCAGAATCCAGGAGAACAGGAAGGAATGGGAATTGGTCTCTCCCAGAGACTTAACCAAGCTGAGGCTAGAGACCAAAGTAAGACAGCAAAGAATCAAG